TTATATATCTCCAACTACAAAAAGAAACCATACCTTAATTATCATGGCTAATATGCTAAATTTAAAGAACATAAAAATGAAAAATAGATCAATAAGCAATCAAAACAAAAACAAATAAAACGATTAAAAGAGTATATAAATCATAAGATTAGAGAANGGAACAATACANATATAAACAAAATTAAAATGNGTAAAAATATAACATACTTCGTTAAACGGAGAGAGAACACGTAAACAACCTTCAAAATATAAGCACAAATCATATGAATAAGAAAAGAAATAGACGATCATAACTTCATAAGCAAGCGTATGGTTATTAAAAAAAATCTTCATAAGCAAGCGTATGATTTTGTTACATACAATATCAATCAAACGATTGTTAAGAAAACACTACACATACGAATGTCCACAAGAACAACAAATATTAAAAAAGAGATACGTACATTGAAAAAGAAAGAAAATAGCAAAAAGACCTATTTGTTTAGGTGTTATGATTCTAAAAGTATATATATATATAAGAATTAGTGAGATCATATCACAGAGTTAGGATTTACCAATAGTGTATTCGATTCATATATATATTAATAATAATTAGGTCCAAACCCAATAAATCTCTAAATATAAATCGATGACAAGTCTTTGTAAATACAACGATTTTTAATGGTATTTTGGTAATTTTAAGCTTGAAATTCACTGTGAGGCCGCCACATTGGAAAAGTGATTTTTCATTTATAAGTATAGATTAGTACCAACGAAATTCATTTTGTAAAGAAAAATGAATTAATTAGAGCTAACATATCAATTTCTTAGAAACAAAAACAAAACTCAAAACATCATTTTCTAAAAAACGGAAGGAGTACAACCGAGGGTGAAATAGCTTACGGGTGTAATATATTGCTTTGAGTGAAATTAGGGACATGACAGTGTAAATATATATTGCTTTGAATGAAATTATGCATATACAAAATGATGAAAGTTTGAATAGCTACATTATTGTATGAATATTCCAAGAAGAAAACGAAATAGGAAAAGTAAAGTTAGTAGTCGTAAGAGGAATTGTTTTCCTACTTGTTGTATTAAAGCTTTTTGAATTAAGAATAGAATTCTAAAGTCAAACTAATGAATGTGTGTAAGAAAACAAAATCTTTGATCTGATACTTTATCCTCCATTGTTTGACACTGTTATACTAATCTTTATTGTCCCTACATTTAATAACTAAAAATTGGAAAAATAGACCACCACCCACTCAATCTTTGATCATTTTCAACTAGACTACACAAATTTTTAGAAATTTTTTTTAAATACCATTTTTTAAATGTCACTTTTAAAAAATGTCACGTTTTCAAAATCTTTGCAAAATATCACTTTTTAAAAATTATTTTTTCATTATATCATTTATGTTTGGGTTAACTATGTTGTATTAGGGTTTAGTTTTGAGGGTTTAAGGGGTTTTAGGGTCAAAAACATTTTTTAGGGTTTATAATTTTAAGATTTAGGTTTTGAAAATCCATAATTAGTGGTATTTTTGCAAATAAACACCTCTAAGTGGCATTCTTGCAAATGTACACACCAAAAGTGGTTTTTTTTTTACAATTGCCCCAATTTTTAGACTATATACACATCTATAATCCATAAATTATGAGTTTCTTATATAGAGTAACATAAATTTGTGAATAATTTTCAAAAATAACAGGATGATATTTTGGTAAATACTTGATTTTTTTTTTTTATAGAAAATAATAAAGTACGATATTATATAACAACTTATCATTAGAAAAACGTGAAGTCGCGTTATTTTTTTTTTTTTGAGAAACATATGTGATACCATATTTACTTGTTTTTTAGTCGAAATGTGATAATATATTCAACTTAATAAGAAAATTACCATTATGTTATCACTACCAATATTGAGAATAGCAAGATC